TTGAAAAGATAACAAAAGTTTGCTATAAATCAGATTGAATAATTGAATATTGGGATTTTAGATGCAATAGGAACTAATAATTTTATTGCTTATTAAGATGTTATTCAAAAAATATTTTTTTTCAGATTTTTTGGATGACGATTTTGTTGTAATCTCTAATTTTATTTCCCATCTTTTTATTTCTAAATTTTTTTGTAAATTTGCACCTACTTTAGTTGCAAGTATCAAGTGTTTTGTCTAATTTTGGAATGAAACGTTGTTTTTGTTGAACTTCACGAAGTTGTTTTGAATCATTGAAAAATTTTTAAATAAGATTCCTTTTAACATAAAATTATATGCTTTGAATGAGGACTTTATTTATGAAGAAATAAAATTGAGTACAAAATGTAAAAATTTACAAGCTTTATTTTTATGTTACAATATCGAGTAGGCAATTAAAATTGAATAGTCTTTACAAGTAAATACTTAATTAGTCTTCAATTATTTATCCAACAATGTAAATAATACCATCTAACTTTACTACAAAAGATGATGATGATGATCTTCTCTAATTCCTGAATTAATGTAAAATCCTCAAAACTTTATATTTGCTTGAATTGTATTCTTTCCAAAATTTTCTCTATATTTTTTTAATCTACAATCTAAATAGGTAACTTTCAATAATACTATCATCCCATTTTATCCTTCTGAATATTTAATCAAGTGTGACCTTGAGTAATTCATTCTTAATTTATATGCTTTAATTTATTCCTATATGTAGTATTTCATAAATATACTTCCAATTATTACAGATTCTCTAATATATAGGAATTAATAAGCTGTCCCTTTTTCACTTTATTATTGTGGAACTCAAAGTCAAAAAGCTTATCTACCCATTTTTTAGAATTCAATCTATTTTTAACATACTATATTTGATTCCTAAATTGTCTATTAGACTATTAATAATGCCTCATATGACCCAAGTTAATTTAATTTATAACTATTTCTACTTTAAGTATTATTATCTATTTTTAAAAAGTATCTATTCTATTTTATTTTCCTTGTTAAACCTCTATAAAATTACAACTTTCCTTAATCCATTCATTATATCTTTAAATTTATAAGCAGAATTTATATTATATTAAAAAATGAAATTGTCAATTTTAACTTTACTGATGAAAATTTTCTAAATTTAAAGGATAACAATAACTTTTTATAATCTAAATTTCAGAATAATTTGATGTCAAAATTTTTTATATTATTTTTCATGATCGTTTCTTAATAAATGTAATAGATCATAATATTAAGAGATTTTGAATTTCCTCTTTTAATAGTAAATTAATAGTAAATAAAATTAGAACTATTTTATTTTTTTGAATGAAGTACATACGTATTTTTTGCGAGTGATTTTAGATATTAAGAAAAATAGTTTGATTGCTGGTGATAGATTTCAATATCATAAGGATAAATGCTGTTATTGAATCTCTAATGATAACTTGTATAAATTATACTAATATATACAAAGGTAAAATGATAAATAAATTCACACCTATTGAATCTTATTGTCTCGGTAAATCCATCCTAATACATAATAATAATTTAGATCAATAATAATCTAAATCAATTGATTGAACTACTTAAACTACATAACTCAATATGTTAAAGAATTATTTGCAATGCAAATTGGATTTGTATCTAAAATATAATCTATGGCACATAAAATACTATAATATACTTATTAATAAAAATTAAATCTTCCCTTTAGCAATCTTATAATAAAAATATTTTTATTATTTTTTAGAAGTTTAGTAGTAATACAAATCAAAATAGTCTAATTCAACTATTACTTTATTCAATGATTCATTATTTTCTAATTTTATTAACTTGTATTCTTTATAGTTAAACATCTAAACATTTTTTCTATCAATATAATCATCTTTCTAAATAATTGATGGTGATATGATTTAAATTGAGGACAATCTTAATTCAGAATTCATAAAACAATCATTAAGATTGTTTGAAGAAGAACTGATTGTATTTTTTTAATCGTATTTATATTATATTATTAACCAATGAATCGGTAATAAAGAGATTGGAAACTTAATATCTAAAGGTTCTAAATTATTAACATTTACACAAGGATATTTTAATAAAAAAAAACATTCATTTTGATTACATTTAAAATTACCTTTTTTTTATAGTTAATTATAAATATCTTGAATGGTTGCGTTTTCTTCAAATTTTAAATTATAAAATATTTTATTTTTTATGTCTTCTAACAATAAAATTATTTAAGTAGGATAAGTTTTATGAGTTATTTCAATAGTGAGTAAATCTATGCCAAAGCTTGATGTATCTGCAATTTCTAAAGTAAGATTTTTGAAATCCACATGTGAGTTCAATTCCAAATAAAAGAACTTTCTATTAAAATTTCTATCCAAATTATCAAATATGTATTAAAATTATTAATGTTCATCCTCTTAAACAGATTTTTTATCAATAATACTATCTTTGAAAGAGGGATAGGCAGAAAAATCACAAAAGTCATCAATACTAGTTAATTTATAAGCTAGTGTAAAATTTGAATATTTTAACAAGCTCTAATCAAAATTTAAGTTTTTTTTATATTCTTAAATAGCTCTAACAATTAATTCACACGCTAATGTATTCTTATCAACATAAATAGTCTAAGAGTATGATGAATTTAAGTAGTTAATAGTTATTGGTTTGAGGTTTTCTTGTAAACTCGATTTAAGTAGAGGCGTCATTAATGACTTCTTTAGATAAACTAATGAAAGCGTTCTAGCACTTCTTTTATTATTTCTATATCTCTTAAACTTTTCTTATTCATAAATTATTTATGAAAGTGATTTAGTATGTCCTCTATAAGATGTATTACTACGCT